ATTTTGCTCATTGTGGTAATAAGGCGTTCTGATAACGAGCATGGCATTCTTTTTTGATGTTGATGCCGTTTCGCAAGTTGCACCAATTTGGTACAACACCTTTTTCACCGAATTCGCTGTGGTGTAGATATAAGGGTGAATCGTCGTTCCGATTAAAGAACTCGACTCAAATTTTCTGATGCCAGCACCATTCGGCGATCTTTCTCTCCTCTTCTGCTCCTTCTCACCTTTTAGATGACGCCCAGCAACAACCGTAAGCCTTGCGGGTAGTGATTGCTCAAAGATAAGTAACCAGTCACCCTGTGACCTCACACACTCTCCTTTTTGCCACGCCTGTGGCACCCGCTGCGAAATATCCCCTTCCTCCCCCTGAATTAGGCTCATGCGCTATGTCATGAGGAAGCCCTATTCTAGCAGAAAACATGCATTCAACAGTGGTAACGCTAAAAACAACCTTCATGGCATTTCAGGTAATGAGTTCAGCGAAATCGGTAGAAATAGGTGCCACCAAATAAGGGCAAATTCTGGCAGACGGCAGCAAATCAAAGGCAGGTTCCGTGGTAAAGTCGTTCAGTAACGTCTGGAAAGGGAGGAGGCTTGAAAACCTGAATACGGATCTCCTCTGATTTAGTCGCACACCTTGTGGGAAGAGAGAAGGGGCGTGGGACGATTTCCATGAATCCAACTCCAGTTGCTCCAGTACCATGACATTGAGCCGCATTACAACCGCTGCCGCAACTCCACCCGCACTTTTTCGCCGCGTCACTTGGCAGCCGACAGCGGAAAAGAGCTCGAAGGCGAAGGGTATGGATCGCACGCACTTCTAGCGTCTTTAACGCGCACTTTAAAGCCGCAAGAAGGGCACGACCTAAGCGCTTGTCCGCCTGTCCACTACGCTCGGCGATGCTACAGAAGAGCGTGCCCTAGTCTCGGAACATGCCTTCAAAAATGACTGTCATTCTCGTTTCCAGGATACAGAATTCTCCCTATTGTCAACGTTTCGACAAAAATGCCTCATGTTCTGGTGGATAAGCCCAAGCCAATTTCCACGTAAAAACACCTCCGCTTTGTTCCCGGTCTCCAAGGACCGCTTGAGACCGAGTCATAGTGTTTTGTGAATAAAACCACCTTTCTGGTGCATTCCCCGACCACCAATAGCAGTTAGCTCCATTTCTTCCGTAGTTGCGCACACCTACAAAGGCTACCGTAACTTTGGCCATAGTGGTAATTCGATGCCCTGATTACGAAAACGACATTTATTTTTAATTTTAGCGCCATCTGATATTATTTTAGCGTTGCCTTGACACCACTCTCGTTTCACCAAAGAATGTGAACTGCCTATCAAACCGCTACAGGTAATTAAATGTAATTTTTTAGGAATTCTCAGTTGGAATAGTGAATAATTACATTTTCGAGTGTCTAAGCTTGCTCCCTCAGCGCGCATTATTATTGCCAGATCAATTTACCTTTTCTCCAGTCTTCTGTGAGTCATCACAATGTCGGCCAATTTCGCCACATCGCGTTTGCCACCAGTCTCAATGTTCAGCATTTCCTTCCACATGTCTCGTGCACGAGCCTGAAACGGGTTTGCTAATTATGTATACACCAGTTTTGCCCCCACCAACAGCTGAGACTTCCCATTCCCTGAGAATGCCATGGAAAACGCTTGTGAAAGGGATGTGTATGCAAAGAAGTATTATGAATATATTTCTATAGTAGAAAGTTCAATTGAGATTATAACGTTATCTTGGAACGCTCAGCGCTGGTGTAGAGCTTGGATTAGTTGATAGTTGCATTCGCTGTCTCCACCACCACCCACTTTCTCCGTCGTCCTTCATGTACGACTGTTAAGCCATCAATTTGGTATAGTCGAAAGTACAGTCGGTGGGTGTTTCATCCCAGCCATTAAACGACGCCAAAGCGTTATTCCAGCAGAAACTTCGACTAGCTGTATTCGCAATAGGTTTTCCTTCTCAATCCCCCGCCACCCTGCCCACCACCGCAGCACCCGAACGAGAGCTTGCGAAGCTCTGATAACTAAGACTTGTAGGATCTCCGGTTTGGTCAGGGTATGGCTGAGTTCGTCAGCCGCTTTATTACTCCTTTTTGCAAAATCGTAGACAGACATACCGAGCAACCTACGCCGAACGACACATCAAGATAACGGTTTACATAATGAATGGAAGGAATCCCTTCTCACGTTCCGACCACTGAAGTAGCAGAGTGGGGTAAAGAAGTTTTACCCCTCAAAGCATCCTTTTGGCGAATTTCACTATTGACTATTTTGAATGAATTGGAAATTTTCAAAAAATTGCAGAGTGGGGAAAAATCAGACTTTCTTGAGGAAATAGAAGTGCCTAGATTTTTCAGCAAGTTCTTCTACTGTGCTCAATTAAAGGGTCTATATGAACTCAGGGTACATTTGCAGCAGCAGATGTTGCCGTCCGCAACAAACCCGTTTTTCGCAGGTTAGGAAATTCAGGGGTGAATGTATTTAGATGTGACAAAGCTGCTCATGCCAATTTGGTTAATTTGGTCTAGGCAGCAAAAACTACTACAGCGGATGCCCTTTTTATTCAAATAGGCCAAAATTATATCCACAATAGGATAGCGGCTAGGTAAAGGCGACTGAAGAGGTGACGGAAATTTATGCAAAGCCATGCACCGCAAAAACGACGGCATTTCATGGCGCAGACTTTTCGCTCGAAATGGTTGTTTTTTCCACGAGCCTACAAGCCATTTGCGGCTGCAAATTCCTTGAAAGCCTTTATTCTGGATTGCTAACATATTTTTGAGCTTTCCTCTTTTCCTCTTCATTTTTTCCCGCTTTCTCACCTGGCAGTACTCCAGATCGAGTTGTACTTGAGATTCGAGGGTCTGCACATAATGTAGTATCATTGGAAAAGTGAGGAGACAACTTGTTAGTGCAACGGTCGAGAAGACGACCGCGGCGAATGCAACCGGCCGGAGTGACGGCCGCTCTTCCTTCTCCGACATTCACCTGAAGTACGAATGGAGAAATTTGTCAACGAAGGCACGGAACGACACGCGGGTGACATGAAATGAAGCAGAAACAAAGAAAGCAGCTGTTTTATTGTAACCAGTAACGACACCTTACACTTGAATACAAGGTTGGTATACTGTAGCACAATTGCTTCGAGTGTAAATATGACTAATATTCGCGTCCAGGACAAGGTTTTCAAGCAGCGCGCTTTGCAAGGTCAAGCGCATAGCATGCAAAAATCACAACCGGTCTAGAAACGGCTAACGCCAAAAGGATTTTATGAGAACCAGAAGGGGGTCTAAGAATGTTGGAGAGATTTAGGTAGATTGTACAGTTATTACTAGCTGAACCGCTACGTAGTTATAATTACCGCTATGAGGATAAAAAAGTTTTATGCTACGAAGAGCACAGCAACATTGGTCCCACCAGACCATGTTTGGAACCTCACCAAAGGCAGCTGTCTCATTTACTTCCTGCCTTTCATGGACTCCTCCTGCTTCTCTGAGAACTCTTTCAAGTCCTGAGGTCAGTCTTTATAAACGTTGGTTAGTTCTCTAAATAAACGTTGGTTAGTACACTGAAAACCCAAACCTCGATTCTCTTGTTACATGATCTAACATCACTACTTCGATAGCAAGATTCAAGATTGAAGGACAGGCGGACGATACGCAAGGAGACGTTTCGTAGCCGAGCATAGCTGGTCAAGCATCTCCGAAAATGGTCTTCCTTTCAAATATAGCCCATGTTTTTCGGGGAGGGGGGGGGGTTAATGTGGCTTTCATCTGCTGAAGGCGGCGATGAAATTTCTGAGCCGGATCTTTACGAAGTCGGGAAAAAGGGTCTAGCAAGTTCGGGTCTGCAAATATTGGATCGCACATCACTTCACAAGCGCTTTCAGCTTCTAGCTCCTCTCGACCGCTGAATGTGTCTTAATATATATATTTAATATACCATATATATAGGTGATATATAATGTATCTTTGATATTTAAATGCATGATTACTTAATGAAGCAAAAGTTGAGATTCTGCTACGACTAAATCACTTCTTGGGGAACGCTGCACATTCTCCATTAAATCGTAGCCGTGATCAAATACAACGGTGGTCTTCACAACTCCTTTGGGGATTATCGATGTACTATGCATTTTCAGTGTTTTTATCCTACCGGATATTCTCGTACTTATTACTTGGCCATGAAAAGAATGGCTAGTTTGGATTTCTTGACGGAAATCAGTTAACATTCGGTCAACAGAGCAGGGGCGTGGGGATGTCATGCAATGGTCGGTAACCGTCGACAAATTCACATTTTGAGTTGGTTATTCCTGCGCTGCACCTTGTGACTGGATGCCAATGTAGTCAGCGTTATGCGGTGGTAGTGGCTTAGTGGCCTTAACCCTAGAGGGCTTCAGGTGGGGGTTATAACGCTCCAGGAATCTCAACAGCAACATACAAACATCATTCGACAAGCGTCTGGAGTAGTGACTAGAACTAGAGAGGAGATGTACACTAAGGCGGCGTATTCGTAGTAGCACAGCCAGTATGAAAGTCTACTACAAATGCTTCTATATATCCGCCCGCCAGATAGACAAAGCCACATCGCTGCAAATTCAGAAGAAATAGAACTCATCATCGAGCATTCGTTTTTTTCAGGCCAACACATTGCTATTGAACTGACATCGCTCTTCGGCTCAGAACGCATGGAATTCTAGATCGCTGGAGAGCGATGATTCCAGCTGATGGAACGCTGGGAATGAATTTTTTTATTCAGTCATCTGTTTTACCTTCTCATTCGCAATGCCAGTTGAATGGCCAGAATAAAGGGAGGTGGAATGTTGTAGCGGGCACTGAAGAACAAGATGAGAGGTGGTTCCTGTTGGAGGCTTAAAAAGAAGCCTTGATTAAGGTGTAAGGCGTCATTGAATGGTTCCAAACGGGTTGCGATGGAACAGGCTCCTCTTTGTATTTGCAGCACCATATTCCGTTAGACCGGTGTACGGTGGCACGCTCGCAACTGAAGCTGCTACAAAATGCACTATTCTTATAGGAAAGAAGTTCATTGTAGGTTTGCAAATGACGTAAACAGGTTTAGGAAAGCAACAGATCCTTTAGATTTTGGGGCTCATTATCGCTTAAAAAACAAAATCGTCCTCTTTTTTCTGCTCAATTGCTTATCCGAAAAGTTGGTAAGTGGACTACTGTAGGCCTTATTGCTTCGCTAAGCTGCTCAAACCAAATCACTTAGCGTGTTTCCACCCACACATCTAGAGTGCCGCATAAAACTACGTCTATAAAAATTCAATTATCAATTATATTATTATTATATAATTAATTCAATATTATTAAAGGACTCATCTTTTAAAACCCCGAAGCGGTACACATTTCAAATGGCGATAGCAAGTTCCAGGCAACGTAGTAAAGTACCTTTGGATTGCACTCAAAGTTGATCATGAAAGGTTGTTGACCGAGCACAAGGAACGAGGGACATACCATGGACGTGACCACAAGTCCCTTATTCGTTGCAAAACTTGTGCCGTGTTCGGATTTGAACCCCTGCTGATTCGAATGATGCACTACTGAATGGCTTCGACTATTCAACGATCCAATCAGAGAAAGAAGGCACCGTGAATTACGGAGTGGCGTTCGCCACGTCGGCCTACATGACCTTATCACCGCTCGTTGTCTCGGAGCTTACGGAGATATGGCATCCATCATCAGTAATAGGCGGGCAGATGATAGCATTTTCCAGAAAGTAGGGGGTAAGGCTAGGATTCGACCGCCAGGGGGAGTGTAAGCTGGTGCAAGTGGGGGTGGAGGGCAGTCACTTGATACGCGACGTGAAAAGCTTGGGTTTCGATTGCACATAGATCGCGAAAAACTAAACATCATGATGTCCCCGTACTTGGACATAGACCTCACACGACATTGTACATTCACTACCTACCCTGAATCCCTATTCTTCTTACCTCACCCATAATAATTACCGTCCCCCCCCCCCCCCCCCCCCCCCCTCCGGTTTATGGCGCCACAGAATCGTCTTTCTCTCAAAACTTGTAGACGGTCTCGCGGACGGCAACGCTGATTGTGCTAGGTTGGGATCAAGCGAGAGCGCCATTTTTTACCAGTATTAGTCGATGAAATTTTGCTCCCCTTCTTGAAAGCTATGATACAGCTCCCTTGCATTTGGCTTTGCTGATTCTGTGCAACGAAGTTCTTTGGAAGAAATATATGCGCCAATTCCACAGTGCGTGTAGAATGGGGTGCCCTTTCGATCTTTCGTGCTGGACTTATTTTCCCCTTGGAATTCAGAATAGATGGCATCAAAAGGTCCGATGCACTTAATGTTGGATTACGCTTACGGCCTGGAAAGGGATTTCCTGATTTTGGAGAAACAAGATGCGTGGACGGCAAATCGGAGAATCACCTCGGAGCTTAGACAGATAGAGAAGAGATTAAAAGATTGAAGAGATTGAATATTCTATTTAGTTGCAGGAATTAGTCGAACAATGAAAAACTAATGAGATTCAGGCATGTTAACATAAATATTTTTATTTACTTATTATTACTATTTTTACAAACGCATTATCATGGTTTGAGCAGCTCTCCCAAGAACAACATCGATGAAGTCAAGTAGAATAAGGACAAGAAAAGAAGAAGGCTCAGCAAAAGGCAGCAATCATTGCGAGAACAGGGTTTTCTGAGTGTCAAACGGACGCTCGTCCATTAAAAGGAGCTAGAATGTTGGAGATGTTAGAGCGTCACACGACGATGGCCTCTAGAGCCTCTTATATCAGCTCGCAACTTGCGTCTTTGGCGCGTTCCACCATCTCGTACATGTCTCAAGGCTGCGCACTCCGTGAATCCCCGCCTCCGTTCGCCATTTCACGTCGGCGATCTCCGTCACCAACATGATCTTACCATCGTCGTCGAACCACTTCGAAGTGGAGGAAGCAACGACGACGACGACGTAGGCTTTTTACGGGCGCACACCATCGCCTCAGTAAAAACATGCACATGCTGAAGGAGAAACGAACTGGCTGGCTGTTGGTGGCTGCTGCCCGATATCGATTGAACACAACCTGCAATACACCGAGGGGCCACCGCACATTTATGTTGAAATGTACTCTAGTGGGACGTGAAACTCAACACAAAAGGAGAAGTGGAATGCTGTAGCACTGTGACGCGGAAGAGTTTGGCGTTTTCACAATGGGTGGCCATCAGGTTAGTGGTTTGTGTTTGTCGTGAATGACTAAGCAGGGTACTTCTATTATTTATAGCTAGCAGTATTTTTTCCAAACTTCTTTTGTTAGTCTTTAGCAGTCAATCTACCCAAGTGGTCACTCTTTTACTAACATAGGTTCAGTTTGAAGACATTGGTTATCTTCAGAAGCATATTTGTGTACGTGAACAGTCACATATGGACACTACTGCAGTGGACTCTTCTGCTCTGAGGTGCGCCATGCACTCGTTTGTGATTAGTAGTTGAAGAAGCGCTCGGAAAGTTATGCCTCTCACCTACGTATTGCGACGTTGACCCTTGCAAATACGACCCTCCCCCTTTTCGGTCGGCCGAATACGACCTCCTCGTTGGACTTTTGTCCAACTGACGGTTGACCTTGTGTCTAAGACGAACAGTGTTGTAGCAGAGCCGCCTTGCCAGCTTTCAGATCCCTTGGCGATATTGTGTTGGGCCAACGCTGTGATTCCTGAGCGCAGTAAGTCGTGCTCATATCTCTATCCTAACACTGGCAACTCTTTCCACAGTTTGGGAAGCTAGCTGTATGCAATCAGAGGCAAATAAGGTCACGTGAAGGTCACCGGTTCTGTTTTCAACGACAAAGAGCTATTTATTTGTTTGTCATTTACAAGAATGCTGGGTTGAGAACAAAACTTTCGTCCCAGACGGGACTCGTACCCGCACCCTGCTACACTACCGGGGCACCATTTCATTCCAACTCAGCTTTTCATGGTATACGTACCATAGCTTTCAGCACTCA